CATCCGGATTTCAACTCTACTCGTCACCCTGATCACTTTGGTATATATAACCCTATATCTGACTCTTTTAGTTTGAGGACTTACAAACAACCGTTATAAGAACAAAATTATAATACTCTCTTTAGCAACTTTGTTGCGAGAGTATAAAAATATTGCTAAATTTCTAAAAGAATGCACCCTTTATATTAATATATAAACTTTGTACTTGTCTTATTAAACTTTTATACTATTGCTGAAAGCGCTTCGCCGATCTATAAGTGATGATTCATCTCTAGGAGTTTTGGAAATCACAAAGGACTAGGGTTCACAGCAGCCCAGTGGTGCCTGGCGCAAGGATCCCCAGACGACCAAACACAATCGCGTAATATGGAAACTTTAAGAAATAAATTAAAGGAATGCAATGGGTGAACATTTATCCTCTCCTAATAACATATGTGACCTGGTCTACGAAAAGTGAGCTAACGTTCGGAAACTAGTTTTCTGGGAAACAGCTGTTAAAAAAAAGTATCTCATCTTCCATCCGAATCAACTAAAAAGTGAAAATTGATTTTTTGACACCTAAGCCCCCTTTCCGTAGACCAGGTCACATATATTATTAAGCTATTTTATACACTTAACTCCTGGAATAAAACTCAGTAATAAATCCTCGTTAAACCAACCAATTCTACAAATAATATTAGATACTTTTATTAATATGAATATTACAGTTAAAAAGGTACTATTAGAATAAAATCAAGCGTTTAGAATAATGTAATATCATAAGAATTACCTGGCCTTTTTCCTTAAGTGCATTGGCCAAATTGCAATATGCATCTGGAAAGTTGGGCTGAAGCTCAATTGCTCGTTTGTAAGTGTCTATAGCCAAATCAATTAACCCCTGTTCGTAATAGACACACGCTAAGTTTCCATGAACGACCGCATTATTAGGCGACAAACTCAGTGCACGAAGATATGCTGCTACTGCTCTAAAAATAAAAGGCAGACATAATGTGTAGATTTTTGATATGATTAATAAATTTGCAGACGCCAAATAAAGTCTACATTTCCCCTTACAAAGTGCAGTTCTAGCTATGTTTGTAAAAGGGAACATAAAAATACATATTAAGCGACCTCTAATTCAGAGCAAAAGTATACTTTGGCAATTTTTATTTTCTTGCAACGTGTTTCTACAGAGTATAATAGTTTTGTTCACCTAACGGTTGTTTGTTACACCTAAATATATTTTTTATTTATTTATTTTTTTTTTATTTTATAACGGTTTGATGACTCATGCCCAGCTCTTGACCGATACTACGGCTACTACTATGCCGGTCTCTTTCGACCAATCCAGCGATTTCATCGCAATTTTCGACGACAGGCCTTCCGGGGCGTGGCTCATCTTCGACCACCTCTACACCAGAACGAAAACGTTGAAACCATCTTTGTGCGGTGGATATGAAAACTGTATCGGGTCCATAAATTACACAAATTTTATTGGCGGCTTGAGATGCATTTTTGCCTTTATCGTAGTAGTACTGTAAAATATGCCGTATTTTCTCTTTATTTTGCTCCATGTTTGCGRCGCTATAACTCACGAACGACTCAAAAGAAACGACAATCAATCAAACACGTGTTAACGCGTGAAATGAGCTTTCCAAAAAGATATAGCATGGCATCATGTGACGAATAAAACTAGAACTACGCGCTCTCAGCGCCAACTAGCGAAAATACCGCAAGTCTTTTTTGACAATATTATATATATGTTTTTTAGGATAGCGTATTTTGACACCATATTTGTATATTCCAATTGCCTCGGCGCTAAATACGGGGAAATATGGTGGAAAAATTGTGTCTGTAACCGTATATATACGTATATATAGGAGATAGATATATAGATACAAACAACCGTTAGGTGAACAGGCGATGAGATGGATAGCGCTTTACATGCGTCAAACGTCTACGCTTTAATATTGTATCAAGAAACTGTACGAGAGGGTTTGAGAAATAGCGGATTTCACAGACATTAACTTCAGAGAGTTTGATATAATACATTTTGATGCAGATAAATGTTTTCGGATCAAAGGCTTATTGAACGCAAGTTCAATTTGTTTAGTTCTGACAGGAAACTAAATATGTATATGTACAGTATGTCAAGAAACTCTTTACACACTGAAAATTTACAGCATTTTTTTACTTTGCTTACAAAAACTAACACCTTCTGTTAAATGTTATCTATTTTTTTTAATATAGAACTGTTGAATAGAATGTGCTTAGTTAATAAGTGCAAAAACAAAATATTGCAAGGTTAAATATTAATTCAACAAAATAGTAGTTTACACATTTTTGCACTGTCAAGAAGCTCTTTAACACTTTGTTTTTTGTTTCTGTTTTTTTTTTCTTGAAGAAAAAAACGGTACTTTTACCGCTATCTATGAGTTTGCAATCATCGCTTTTTTGAATTCATTCTCATTTAATTGTGAAATATTGATGAACGCGTGTCATGAACCGACTTTTTACAATTTTTAAAATGCCTGGAAAAAGATTGATCTTCAATGTAGTCCAATTGATTTATTACAATCACCAACTGGGAAAATCTGCGGCAGAATTATCAAAAATGTTTTGCGTCTCCAGAAAAACAATTTATAATGTTTTAAGTCGCGCGGAAAATGAAGGCATACTTGAAGAAAAAGGTGGAGGTGGTCGTAAGAAAAAGATTTGCGAACGGGATAACCACCCAATCATGCGTAAGATCGACCAAAATCCACGAATTTCTACCAGAACCCTTGCCAAAGAGCTGGAAAAGAGTGTTACACAGTCGTTTCACACGAAACGCCAAGCAATTATGCGGCATAAGTACACTTCAAGAGTTGCGCCAAAAGATACCCTCTGAATATGACGTTTTTAAACAAATAAAAAAAAAATTAGTGCTAAAGTTGAAAAGGCGCTTAATTTATATCCAAAAAGTTTACGTTCGCCAATGATTATTTATACAATTGAAAAGCAATTACATAAGTTTTAGCAGTTTTGGCCTACAATTTCTTGCTATTATTATTCTTAGACATCGATGTATGCTCCCCACTCAATTTCTAGTATTATTTCCGGATATTTTGACCCACTTAGTCCATGGGTCGGCTTTTTGGCCTTATTTTGATGAAATTCGATGTTTTCAAATACGATTTTCTAAAAAGTTCCAGATATTTTGAATAAGATTAATGTCTAGTGACTGCGGGAAGTATGGATTTATTTTTAATTCCATAACAACCCTGCACGTTATAAATAGAAATGGCCGCTATAAAAAACCGATTTAAGCACACTTAAAATTTAAATTAGTTTCTTAAATGGTTCAGATACATATGCTTTTCCATTTTTTTACTAAAAAATCCAAATCTTCAACTCCAGGTGCAGTCACATACCCCCAAACCATAACATTACCCCTACCATGGCAATATATTTTTTTCTGCCGACTCTTCATTGATCTTTATCCACACTTTTCGTGATCCTGTTGAACCAAATATATTAAATTTTGATTCGTCGGTGAACACAAGTCTTTTTATTAACCTTACTTATGTATGGCTTACGACGAGCGATTCGTCTATGATAACCAGCACTATTCCATACATTCCCTACTGTTTGGGGATTTATATTTTTTGTATATATACTATATGTATATGATCATTTTAACAAAATAATTTAAATTTTAAGCTTAAATGGACTATTAATAGCAGCAAAATCAATTTCCAACAAAAACAAAAAAAACTTTAACAAATCTTTATAATTTTGGCAGAAATTATAAAATCTATTTAAAATTTACATTCCTCAACAATTTAACGATGTAATATGTCTTTAAGTGACAGCTAAAACAGAGTTGCAATTATATGTTTGCATGACATTGCACGCAAATATACATGAGCCATTGCAAATAATTTTCTTCTTTTTGTGTTTGTTGCTGTGCCAGTGCACCAAGAGGAAATATACTATGTAATTCTTGTACGTGCAGGGTTTTTATGGAATTAAAAATAACTTCATACTTCCCGCAATCACTAGACATTAATCTTATTCAAAATATCTGGAACTTTTTGAAAAATTGTATTCGAAAACATCGAATTTCATCAAAATAAGACCAAAAATCTGGATCAAGAACTAAGTGGATCAAAATTTCCGGAAATAATACTAGAAATTGAGTGGGGAGCATACATCGGTGTCTAGGGACAATAATAGCAACAAATTGTATTACAAAACACTGTTAAAACTATTGTAATTACTTGTAATTTATATAAATAATCATCACTGTACGTTAAGTTTTTTGGTAAAAATTAGGCGCATTTTAAGCTTTAGCCCTAATTTTTTTTTTTTTTTTATTAGTTAAAACTTAACAACATTACGATATGCTATAGTTAACGTTAAATATACATCTCTTACAATGGATAGAAAAAAACCACAAAATTTATTCATTTTAAAACAATAAAACGTGTCGTAATTTACTAGAACTAGGTGTGTGTAAACTTTATTGGTCCACTGTATATGATATATATATATATTTTTTTGGAGACTACACAAATATATCACAAGCTTTTAAAAATTTCCTGAATCTTTCGCATTGTTAATCATATAAATGCATACAATTAATATTAAAATCAATGATAATAATATTATTGTAAAATTCAAAAGAATTTTAGCATTATATATAATAAAATCTATCAACACTTTATCAAATCATCAGTATTTATTCTATGTTAATAAGCTAAAAGCAAATTAATTTGAATAAACTTAAAACCAATGATCTTTTGATAAATACTTTATTATGTTAATAGATTACAATTATTTCTCACAGAATAATAGTTATGCGGTGAGCTTTACTTAAGTCTTGCGCAATGAAAATAATACCGTGAGTGTATTATTCGTTAATTTAAATACCTTTTTTTTTATTGTGTTTAAGAAATTACATTGTCTTCATTTTGATCTGTTTGACATTTTTCGGGAAAGAGATTGATTCCAATTTTTAGACAAACTTGTATGAGGTTTCGTATTATCCTGATGGAACACTACACCATTTCTATTGACCAATTTTGTTCTATTCTGGTTGAGTGCATCACTCAATTTGTCCAGTTAAACGGAATACAATTTAGAAGTAATCGTCGTACAAAAGCTTAACCCGGAACGCTAATACATTCGTCGAATCGAACGCATCGCCGGCATTTCTTCTAAACATTGTTGGTTTTACTCAATTCGCTTTTTTTTCCCAACAGTGTCAGGTGATCTTATGAGCAGAGATAAAGAGATGCCCAACTCATCTCTCATTGGAAGTGAGAGAGCAATTGCTAAACGTCAAAACCTCCTGAACTTTGATAGCTGATAGAGTTCAGGAGGTTTTGACGTTTAGCAATTGGAAATGAGCGATGGCAAGATAGAAATCTTACCAAAAAAAATATTTAAATGGAAGGATTTGTTGCATTGTTCAAGACCACTTATAAAAAAATGTAAAACAAAGGAAATTAAATGAATTTGTAAAATTTAAATGTATTTGATGAAATGCTTCGCAGTGTCAAGCATCATAGTATTATTTTCAATGGAAAATGATTAAACACATTTATTGATTGAGAGGTAAAAAGTTTAAATCCTTTAATTGGATATTGAAAGGTCAAAAGTTTAGGATGTCAAGTCTTTTCACTTTTATTTCTCCAACTGTACTGTCCTAGTAGCTTTTTGTGAAACATGAATATATGTGTCAACATAATGACAAGCAAGGATGTGTTTAAATGAATACAAATTAACTTTAAAAGAGAATCAACAATAACTGAAAACGAATCTTAAGTTAACGGGATGTATCTACATTAACCCTTCAATGGTTTACTCTTTTATATATAAGGATAATTAGAATAACTTAAAGTGAGGATGTATTATCATACACATAGTACTTGTTACTACAATTCGGCCGTCCTGACCATGAGATCTCCTGATCTCAAGCGCATTTATGTCTTAGTGTATA